TAATAGCCAGTATAATGATCCTTTTGTAGAACATTTATATGGAGAAGAACACGCTATGGAAGTTATTCGTATGACCTTTTATCCTGATGAAACTCTTAACTTTCTTTTATAAGCTCAACGTTTTATTTATTTTTATTACGCTTAATCATGCGGTGAAGGTTGCTGTATTCTTGAACACCGGCGGAATCTGTAAGTTTATGTCGTATAATCTGAAGAAATATTCGTTTAATTAAAACAAACCGACGTAGGAATAACAGAAAAATAGAATGAATATTGTGGGACTAATGTGAAAATTGATATTTATGCTAAAAATGGTCTGAAATGTTTTGTTACATTTTAGATATTAAAATTACATGTGAAAGTTGCATTCCTAGAGAATATATTTGAAATTTAATGGTTTAGAAATCGTGGGGGTCAATTATCTAACAACCCCTTTCAACTTTCAAATCGAAGACCAATAATCCGTCAATTCTAACATCTTTGTAAAAAGTGTTTGGAACGCACCACCATCGAAAGTCATATAATTGGCTGTTCTATGGTTTGCTAATGCTACATTATTCTCTGTATTCTAGAGCTACTCAATTTTGTAAACATTCACGTCTTGTACAGTGTCACGGCCGACTTTAAACAGGCTGTGAAGAGCGGAGTAGTCCGGCGGTGTTGCCAAATTTGTGCCGGTGGTCTACTCTCCTAGTCGGTTGTTCCCAAAGTTTCAAGCATTATTTCAATTTTTTTGTATATTGCGAACGGATAAAAAATATTATTGGTATATATAACAAACTAAATATTATTCCCGAGCACATATTCTTTTCATCTTCTTTATATCATTCGAATAATATAAACTTATCGATTGAATATGTGAAAGATTAATCCACACCGTCTTGAATATCTTTGTATTTTATTAACAAATTTTCTATTTGAGACCACCTATTGAATTTTAAATCAGTGTACAACAACTTCCATTCAAAAATACTGTTACTCACATGTCTTCATTTAATGTAATATGGTTACTTATGGTAATGATTTGTTCACTTAAATTAGGAAGGTAAAAATGAATTTTGTTGTTAATTGAACCCTTTTTAACATTCCAACAATCAGGAATATTTATTTTTCTGGAGAAATGAAGAATTGAATCTTGAGAATTGACAGTTGAATCGGACTGTTCAAAAAAATGTTATTCAAATAATCATTGCGAGCTTAATAATTTCTTCGCCTTTTCGCTGGGCTTTTCCTAGGTGAGGGCAGATTGTTTGACAAATATTGCGATAAATTTGGAAGAATAGAAGAAACCGCGTGAGGGATTTATCTTGTTCGTTTAAGTATAATCCCAAGGGGGTGAAACAAATATATTTCACAAAAAAATTATTTCTAAGTAATCCGAAGTAATATTCAACTTCAAATTACGAAAGTCTCAAACAACACAAAATTGATTTAGTTTAACTGAAATCTGTAAGGACACTAAACACTTTGTTTTTTATAGTTTAATGTTGAGAATTCAACAAATTATCAACAACAAATGTATTACACTATACACAATTGAAAAATATAGAATTTATACTAAAAGCTCAAATTATTTAACTTCAAACTGCGAAAGTTTTGAGAAGTGTCCTATTTGCATTAGTATACAAGCTCAACTAACGGCGGTGTTGTAATATTCCATAGACCACTAGCGCCAAGGTTGCCAGATATATATTTCATGGCCTGTTTGAAGTCGGCAATGGCAGTGTCATCGAATATTGCTGATGATGCATTTATTATGCAAAAACATTATTACAGCATAATGAAATTTTAGTTCAATATATCCATAACTCAACAAATTGTCTTTGGTTTTCTTTTTCTCCAATAATTATAATAAACTAATTAACATAACACCAATGGAGGCGGTCCTTAAAATTTGATTATCGTTGACCTAAAAAATGATTCAATTGTTCGGAGTGCACGAATATCGGACGACCGATTTTACGCAATCTCTGTGTTTAATAGTGTGTTCGGTTATCCACTCTTTTGCAACGTGCAGACACTGGTTGCAGAATGAAATCAACCTTGAAATCGCCATTTTTCCAGACATAATCGATCCCACTTATTATAGATATTTTTTTGTATCTCAATAACATCTGCATTCGAGAATTCTAGCTATCGTTCGGAGAGTTGAACAACGAGAAATTTACACTAAATAATCCGCATGTGTGTTTCTTTGTGAAACGTTCGACAATTCTTGGCTTCGATTGAAGAATACGGAGTAACAGTTGTCCCAAGACGCCGAATTAAGAAATATTCCTTGAATTCGTCCAATTTGCATACCGGTTTACATTCAATTTCGTATCTTTTCGTTATTGCGTTAAGAATTATCGAAATTCAGTGGAATTCCAGTTGAGTAATTTGAATTGATATTCTGAAAGAGTTTAGAATACCGCTTTAAATACTCAAAGATATCAAGAATTTCGGATATATTCAATATATATTTATCGAAATTTATCTACGCTAGATAATGAAAATTTCTTGGAAGCTATCTTAAATTGAAAGAAATATATGGCCGCAGAAGTTTCAAAATTAGTAATTTTCAATGCATCAACAAAAATTATTAATTCTAAGCATGGCCAACTTCAAGAAAATTCTCCAAGTCTGTCAAAAGTCATTAAAAATAAATTATTTGGAATGATTAAAAGGCACAAGTAAAATTTATGAAACCTTTTGAATTGGAGATCGATAGAACTTGCATGTCATCGTCCTTCTTCAAAAAATTTAAAACGCATCACCGAATCTCATAGAACTGACAGCTCTGTGATCGATTTGAACTATGTACACACTGTAATCTTTTCTTGCCTACAAAGATTCAACTCTGACTTAAATCTATTCACATTCTTTCTGTGTTATCTGTGTTACATTCCGTTTAAGTCGATAACCTATTACAAAAAAATTTCTCAAATAGAAAGTAACTCATTTCTTGTAATCTCTAGAATCAAGAACATCGTACCTAGAAACTGTGTTATGAATGTGTACTACAGTCTTGTATATAGTCATCTAAATTATAATATTCTGCTGTGGGGTTGCTCTACAGAAATAAATAGGGTGTTTATTACACAGAAGCGAATACTTCGATTAATATTCAATATTCATCAGCGAACATCTTGTAAACCTATCTTCATCAATAATTACATACTCACCTTACCGTGTTTATATATTTATAGATGTTTGTTATATGTTGAAGAAAATGAAGATAGGCTTATTAAATTGAATAGTAATCATGAGTATTCAACAAGAAACAGGGATGTGCTACTTATTCCTATGCATAGAACAGCTAAATTTGAGCACTCTCTCTATTGTCAGAGCATTAAAATTTTCAACCATTTACCATCGAATTTGAAAGTACTGAAAGCTCATTTGTTCAAGAGGAGAGTTAAATCTCTGCTCTTAACAAAGGCGTACTATAGAAACTAAGTATAACTTCAATATTGTCATAAAATACATTTAATTACAAACGGCAGTTTGTGTCATTAAATGTATGTTATTACAATTATCAACAATTAATTATTAACAATGTTAACAATTAGCATTAAATATTTTGGACCAATATTGACTGAATTCAAATGAATGAATCATAATCCTTAACATCTTCTTGAAATTTGAAATTCCTAGACGAACGAAAAAAGCTCTTTATTCTATGTTTATCCATTTCTTGTTAGTACTATTCGTAATTTTCAATTTCTCCATAGAAGTTTCAATAGTCATGCCTTGAAAACAACCAGAAAACTTGAGTATAAGGAAATTCTTTGAGAATATATTGATTAAAAGCTATTTGCTACAGTTTTACCATAGTAGATTTTTCCAAAGAAATGAAAGCTACGGAATGTGTAGTTATACACATTTTTTAAGATCTTAGAGTTTCTGAAAGAGGAAAAGGTTCTAGAGAAAACTCCTCCAGAAATAGAAATAATATACATATAAGATACCTTGAAAATAAAAAAAAAGTAACAAAAATTTTTTATGTGTTTTTCAAAATTGGTTATCTATGGATATAAGTGAGTTTTCAATTCAAAACCATGAAATGTTACATGTAGTTTACCTTCATTGTTATCTGTTAGAATGTTCAATATAATTATTTCACCTTGTTTTTTTTTTAGTATCCAACATTCTCCCAGTTTGTGATATAGTAAAAATTGGATCTTACCAAAAATAATGGTATGAATATTTATATAATTCCAATAAAAAGTAGATTTAAGATATATTGAAATATTCATGTAGTTAAAACTTTGTAGTTCCAAATTCAGCGAAAAATATTGATATTCTTGAAGTACTTGGAAGAAAATTCACCTTTTTCAAAGAAATTTGAATGGTTTAAACGATTACTCAGTCAATTATATGTTTAAAAATCACCGTCTATTAATGATAATGGGATGTGATTCACAATCACGTCACAAGAAATTAGGTGTGAATTTGTTATTATTCATTTATTCCCGTAACATCATTTAACCGTACGAAGACTTTCCTTGAATAAAATGTACAGAACAAAACGAATTTGAATCCTAAAATCCATCACATAGGTTTCACCTCCGACATTCGATTCGGACTCTTAAGCTATTGTCATGAGTTGACCATTGAACATTGTACAAGAGTACAGTGTTTGTATTATTCGAAAAGAATCAAGCAATATATCAGTAAATATTGTGTGAAATGCTATTACTATTATCTAGGAAGTCATACCGCTGGGACGACTTTGGGCCACAATCTAGCAAATAAAAGCATTGGTTTCGAATCCCAGGTGAGATAGAGGCGCTGACATTTTGTATCTGATTTCGTTGTTGTTTTGTTGTTAAAATGAAGATTAGTAATTGGTCATATACAAATTAATTAGCATCAATAATAGTTCAGAAGAAGGTTCTATGTTTTTTTTTCTAATTCAGTTGAACGAGGGTTCCGAACGGCCAATGGGCTTGTAATCATGTGCAATAACCACAATTATCATCATAAAACTACTAAAATCAACAAACACATACATCCCATGCCTTCAGCGTGGTTTGAACCCGAATCCTTACCGCACCATAGTCGGTTGTTTTCTCGACTAAGCCACGAAGGCTGGTAGGTTCTGACTTCATACCCATGTTAAGTTACCACTAAATTAAAAAAAAATTTAACTTTCTTATATAAATGAAATATTTGTACAAATCACTAGAAAAACAAGATGGTGAGTGAGAATTGCAAAAATGTCATTGAATTGTTCAAACACTAAAGTGGATATCAAACTTTACAAGGTGTTCAGAAGAGCTTTATTATTCATACTTCATTATTCATAATTTGCTTACTAAGAATCCACTTCAGTTACTCAATAATTATTTATAGATTTTACCATTACATAAATCAGAAACATGCAATTTCATTAAATATTCATATCGCTATATACAAATATAAACTTTCATCAGTTTCAAGATATAGTATAGTATAGTATAGTTTCAAGATTCCCGAATCATATTTACTAGTAAATACTGAGACTCTTAATCAAAATATCGAAATATTTCAAATAAAACTCCCAGGAAGCTGTCTACATAAATGTAATCATCGAGAACGAATCTATAACCTGTATTTCGATTAAGAGTCTCAGTATTTACTAGTAAAATGATTCGTGGATCTTGAAACTAACTATCCTATTGCCCACCGGTCCGTGATCTGGAGCGATTATGGATGGGACCATTCTTACACATTGCAGATAAATTTCTGTGGTGTTCGAATGAAATGTCCAGAAAGCCTCACGTACTCGCACTAATTTTGTGATGAGTAGGGTCTAGAACGCTAGGGAGACTGTATGCGTCTTTTCTTCGATAGAGGGAGCTCACGTGGATGTTCACAAAGTGATGTTCCCCTCATTTGAATATAGGACCTGCGGGCGTTTTGAAAGTCATCGATTCTTGATTGATTGATCAAATACTGATGATGACTGATGATTAAAGACTGATGATTCATAATTATGCTATTTCATTCAACGTTTCCTATTATCATTCAACAAAATGGATGACTTTTTCGAAGCGCACTGAACATTCACTCTCGAAGTGACAGGTTCGTTCTCGTTCACAACATTTGTGTAGACAGCTTCCTGAGAGTTTTATTTGAAATATTTTGATTAAGCGTCTCATATATATATATATATATATATATATATATATATATATATATCGATATAGAGAGAGAGAGAGAGAGAGAGAGAGAGAGAGAGAGAGAGAGAGAGGAGAGAGAGTAGAGGTATCATTGGTGGGCATTTACTTCACCTATGGCCTTCCACTCTAATTGATGAAATGATGAGTATTACTTCTTCATTTCGATAAATGTTGAAACCTGAGGAAAATGCATGGTAAGAGTAATACTAAATTTTTTATAAAGGCAGATCTTGAAACATAAATGAGATTCCACAAAAATGTCAATTCCAAATCCTGCGTTTTTCATATCAGAGGAAAGATTGAAAAAAAGATGTTGAAAAAACCTCAAAGTGGCTATAAGTGGTGCCTCTGCTCTGTATATTTATATATACAAGTAAGGAAATCTTTACTCTGATCAAAATATGAAAGCTTTTCGTTAACACGTGTTTCGGAATTGCTAGTGATTATTATAATTTGCAAAAACGAGTTGAAACACTGACAACAATAAATAAACGAAGTTTATCAACAGTACAACAAAAATATGGAATTACCCAATTGAGGGTACACGAAAAGATGAACAGAAATTCAGGACCAAAAAGAGTCATTGTCTGAAAACCATCATTGAATCATCAATAATACTGTTGCGTGAAATTAAATTTCAAATTGAAAGCCAACGACGAATAATTCGATCTTGGCCCTGTGAGAACAAGAAGAAATAAATATTGGGCAATTTAAGTTGCGGTCTGAAAGATATTCACATATTTCAGTAAACTTTGTTTGGGTTTAATAGTAGTTTATTTCATAGCGTATAAGTGAGATTGATGATCTCTGTAGTGAGACTTGAGTTCGAATTCCGGAAAAGAGATGGATTTTGGGTTAGGCAAAGAGTTTGAGTGGTTTTGAGATAAGGAGTGAAAACTATTCGGTTTAGTGAATATAAATGAGTTCTTAAGGAATATTTAATGAATAAAAATTGGCATTCTGTGTATCTGTTGAAGAGAAACATTGTTTTCTTGATGTTTAAATAATGTTAGTTGCTACTGTAGCAGTATATTGCGTTATTATCCTGTAGCAATGCTAAAGAGTAACCAAAACTCATTGGACGAAAATAGACTATTATCATAAATCATTAGTCATCTCTAAATACCGTTTGCACACTTTTCACGAACATTAATTCAAACAAAAAGCGATAAATCAATGTCATCAAAGTAATTATTCTATGAATATTGTATAAACTCTCATGAATTAATGTGTAAACTTTCATAGAAATGTATACCGATTTCAAGTTATTAATCTGGGTTCTAACCAAATTCTCCAGAGTAAAACTTCTGCTTCAAGGACAAGATAGATTGACAAATAGGGAAATCAAATTGAAAAATCTGGTATATTTTCATAACAAGTAATAGGATATACGACTTCTATTGATCTACAATCGAATGACATAAGAAACACGCATCTGCGGAAAAGTGATTTTGGTGATCTACTCTGTGAGGTAGATGTGCTTCTTTCCAATCTCAGGCTTGGCGTGAAAGTTTGTGTACGTCTACTGCTTTTGTAGAATATCGTTAAAATGTAATATATAATTGGAAATTACTGAAAGTGCTCCAATATTGTTCAATATACCCGCCTTATCTTTCGGGCTACTACACCCAGAGCTAGATGGACCAAGTGATTTAATTTGATTTTCGAGTCCGATTAACAATTATAACTTCATCAAACAATGTCTGCCCAATATTTAGCTACATCCACTCCCGCTTGGCTTGCAGAGATGGGATCTTCTAACGTGCATGAAACATCTGCGTAAAGCAAGCTAGAAGGTGGTTCATGGTTTGGACATATCCACACTCACACAGGTTGCTCTCAGATAGATTCCATCTGAACATTTTTGAGGCACAGCGGCAGACGCCCGTTCTCAGTCGGTTCAAAGATCTTCATGTTTTGTATTGTAAGTTGGAGCCACTGGCCAGTTCTTCCTTTATCTCAATTATTGGATCCGGCACCTCCTCTTTCCAGAGTTCCATTCTTCTTTCTTCCGGGTTCAGCTGAAGCTCATTTAATGTAGCAATGAAACTCTTCCTTGACTTTAACCTTTCTGGATATTGCGGCTGATATTCTGCCATGGGGTGTCTCAAGTCAATAATTTGTTTTTCCCTTTCTATTTCAGCTGCTGTCTGGCGACGGAGAGAAGGAGGTGCAATCCCCACAATCGGGTACAATTTGGCTACTGGAGTAGGTTTCAGACATTCCGTGACAATGCGTACAGATTCATTCATGGCCACATCAACTTACTTGGAGTGGGCGGAATTCCTCCAAACGGGTGCTGCATATTCAGCAGCAGAGAAACATAAACCCAAAGCGAAAGTTCTAAGTACGCTTGGATCTGCATCCCAGTTTGAACCAGTTAGTTTGCGGATGATATTATTTCTGGACATTACTTTATTCTTTGTGTCCAGGCAATGTTGTTTATAAGATAGGGTTCGGTAGAGTTTTACACCAGGATATTTTGGTGTAGTATAGTGTTCAAGTTGTTCGCCCGACCATATAACATTAAGTTAGCGACTTGCCTGGTGGTTCTTTAGGTGGAAAGCACACACTTGTGTCTTCTGGGGATATGGCCGTAGAAAGTTGTAATGAAAAAAAAAACTGAAAAGGTGCTTAGGGCGACTGTAAGAGAGTGTTCCACCCGCTTGCTTTGCCACTGCTGTGTCATCAGCATAACGAAACTGCCTAGTTCCTAGTTCATAGGTTGATTATTATCAATAATTGATGAGTCCGATACTTGATGTAAATCGATGAACATAATAAAACAATTGTTAAACTGATTTACACATATATTAAAAATAATACTGCATGACGTACGTTTCGATGAGATTCACTTTTTTTGAAATGCTACGTGCAGACTCTGCACGTAGAGTATTAGTAGAGTATTAGTTGTAAAGGTATTTACAACTAATCACTCTATTTAGTCTATTATTATTTATGTTCAATACAAAATTTTCTGGCACACTATTACAATAATTTCCGAAGTTGATGTATACTGTTTTATTAACATTTAGAGTTAGTTTTTTTATTATATTATATGGTTTATTTATTTTCAAATATATGAAACTATTCAGCTAACTCTTGAGGTTGTTATATTCTAACAACAAAACCAAGAATGCATCATCTATCATGAATAATTCCAAGGATAAACACAACTACTGAATTGCTAAGACAGAAAAATCAGCACGGTAAATAACTAAGTGTTTTTCACCTGAAAGGCGAACTTTACATATTATGACTAATTGAATATACCTGCTGGTATACACAAACACCATTATTCCCCTTAACAGTCCATGCAAACAGTCGAAAAAAGCGACAGTTATGTATATTTACATTCCGAAACGTGCAGTTTAATGAATATAGGATATACTGGTTTGGGTTTTTGTCTTTTGCAATAGTTGCGCCTGAAAATATCGACTCATTTCGACTTCTCTGAACCGATATTATACCAGAGATCTGTTGGCGACACGTGCAATGTCCTTCGCATTTTAATAAAACACATATCTGTATCCTTTCACTTATGCCGGTAGAATCGAGCTGTAAGTATATTTTATGAATTTTATTGATCGGTACGTCAGTGCGGTACCGTATGTTTGCGATAAACTTATATATTGTTCTTATAAACCTACACAACAACCTCCATTCTAATGTTCGATGGTAATTTCATCCAACACAAAAAGGATATGACTTGGATATTTGCTTTGAACATAACAAATAACGAATTTCAATCGTTAATAATACTTAGTAGTTGTATAATATACTAGCAGAGGAAAGTACGTGTAAAAAGCTCAATAAAACGTACAGACAAGAAGTGAATTTATTAACAAAACCAATTGGGGTAGCATTACAAAATTATCTTAATTACTTGAAAATTGTTTAGGCGACTGAGATTGAAATCTCGTTTAAC